TTCTCTTAGGTTGAGAGACACTCACTAGTAATAGAATAGAGGAGATAAAAATCACACACACACACGAAGCAGGTAAGGCCTTTTCTGTTTAGAGTCTGTAGATGACAAAAGCAATGAAATGGAGGGGTAATGCTGTTACTTCATTCTTAGTGTGCATCACATACTTAATGTGCTAGGTAGTGTTGTAAGCATTACAGGATTCTGTTATCTACAAATAAAACATTAAAAACATTAAAAAAAAATCTCATCTACATACAGAATCTGCTCATATGTGAGTCTTTTTGCCTTAAAACCTTTGCATGCACCAAGCTGGAATACATGGTCATGGCTTGGGAATGTCCAAGGACCAGTTGGAAGAAACCAGTTTCTCGTTTCCAGGCTTGGCCAGGCTGCAGGCTGCTCCTAAGGCTTCTCCCGTGGTTTGTCCTCTGATCGTTCCACCAGTCACTCCTGACCGGTGCTTTCTGCACGTAGATAGCCCATAATGAGTGTGCAATTCTTCATGTGGGGATGAAATAGTTTTCATCATCAATCGAGGAGAAGGGCATATTCTCGTGGACACTTTCATTTTCAGCTCGCTTGGCGAATTAATTGCCACCTTTCAGCAACAACTTACTCATGTTATGGAAAATCCAGGGAGAAACACGGCCAATGACATGACCATGTAGCACACCTGAAATGGCTGGGCATTTCTCCAAAGGTTAACCCCCGTGCCATGGGCGAGGTGGTGCAGAATGGGCCAGAGCAGGAGGAAAAGTCCCCATCCCTGCCTTTCCCATCCATCCTTCTTCAGGGAGCCGTTTGCATAAATTCCTTGCAGATCAGGGAGAAAATTGATCCCCTACTTTTCAGTTCCCTTCTTTTACTGGTTGTCACAACCTTAACAGTACTTGACATCAATGGGAGTTACATTGTGGACTGGGGGCAGTGTTTGGCCCTTAAGCGTAGTTTTTGCATGTTAATACATTAGCAACTGATGTCTTATTTGTTCAGTAACTGACAGAATAATGTACAGAAAGCACGTAAGTATGAAAAGGGGCTAGTTAGGTAATGTTGAGCAGAACATCTTCACGACAACACTGCAACCTCTGTATTTCAAATGTCAGGCTAATTATTATCAACATTTAAATGTTAGCGTGGGCCATTTTTAATAGTGGAAATTTTTTCAGCAGGTACCATTATGGGAAGAAAATGTCACAAGTAGTTCTGCCATCGCATTGTTCAAAAAAGTACATAAGGCAAGGAAATTATTTCAGTAGATAGCAAAAAGAACATCTTGTTTGCTTAAATCTGACTGTAAAATTAATCTGTCTGATGATACCGTTCGGGGTATCATTTGTTTTAAGGAGGCATGGAGAAAGTTTGCTACTACATAACAATTTCTACTGGAAATAACGCTTGGCAAAGCCTTTTTCATATGGTTTTTTGGAGATTCATGCCGGGTACATGGTGCCGTTCCCAGTTGTTCTGGAGGCAGTTGAAGTCTGTGCTGTGCACTCTCTGGTAAACCCTTTACAGAAAACGAAACTTGAGTATGATTCAGCACAAAATGGAACGCGATGCCAATAATTCAGATACTCCTCCTTTGGTCTGATCCATCCCTTGCTATGTAAACACAGCACTAAACAGAAAATACCCCAGCAGTCTGGGACAGTACCTGTGTATAATTCTGAGCATGTTCTGCTAGTGCAATTCTTACACAGAATTACCGTTAATTTCTGCAAAGTTTTGGATAGCGGCACCAGCCTCTGCATTTATTGGTGCTTTTTTGTTGGCTTTTTGCTACACCTTAGGGTCAGATGTAAAGTGTCTGTTTTGAGCCAGGTACCGTGCGTCTTCCCTCCTGTTCACTGAGTTGCAGGAAGGGTTTCTTTGGGTTCTACTGTGTGGACATGAAGTGACTGGTTTTTTGAGTCGTCTCTACAGCTCGACTGCAGGCGTAAAGTCTGGGTGAAGCTCAGAGTTGCTTTCTTGACCTAGTGGAAAGAACAGAGTCTGAAGTTAGGATGCGTTGTGTAGGAGGGCTTTTCATTTCTTAACGCTGAGTACAACTTTATGCATCATAAGTGTGAAAATAGTAATCAGCTTGAAATGCATTGTGTGCTCTGCCCAGTGACCCACATTTAAAGAAACTATTGTCAATTATTATAAGAATTTTTTTTAAAAAATCCTTTTTCTTTTCCTGTAAAGGCAGAGGTAGGCTGCTGAGGTATGTCTGCTGACAGTGGTGGCAACAATTAACTTCTGAAAACGGGAAAGCAAAGGCCATGATGATGATATATTGAATTTCACATCATGTGGCTGGATTTTTTTTAATATTTCTGTGTCTGATTTCACACACAGAAACAACAAACCCATGCAGTTAGTCACCGAA